AGTAGAAAACGGTCGAAAAATGTGTAAATCGTTTTCTACTTTTATATTTGAAATACGAAACATCTCAAATGCGAAAGCGAAAACGGTAAAGTCGGACAAGAAAATACGGATTCGATCGAATTAAATATAGAAAACGATGTGGTTCGGTTCGAGATATTTCCGTTCCGTTTTCATCCTTAGACCCGCTCACGGTGTTCACTGGCGTGGAGGGCGCTGAGTTCAGGCGCAAGCGCTTTGTCAGCCGCGGCCTCAGCCTCCACGACGTCAAGAACGCCCTCGGATGCGTACTTCGGAATCGTGACAATGTTCTAAATAGCGGGATTTAGCCTCCGCTTTAGCGGGATATAGCGTTTCAGGAGGTCTGACGCTACAGGAATTTTTCTGCTATTAGCGGCTGATAGCGCGCTACTTCCGCTAAATGGATGTCTATTTAGCGCCGCTATCAGGAGACTGTGTGGGCTTCGATTTCGCTCCGGCCCAAATGGCTGAATCACGCGCAGGCCCAAAGTGATAGGGCAAGAGCAAGACTCAATAACCCTAGCCATTCTCTCCTTCAGTCGTTCCTCTCCGAGCTCGCGAGAAATGTTGGCGGCGGCGGCGGCGGCTGTTGCTGCTGCTGCACGCCTGCACCCGACGAGCAGCGGGAGTGCAGGGCCGGCGAGCCGAGGGAGTGCGGGCAGCAGCAGGACTACACGGGCTCACAACGTCGGATGTGCAGGTCGGTAGGACTGTAGCTGCGAGGGGCAGCCAGAAGGCAAAATTCCTCTTATTCATCTCAAATTTCTCAAATCTTTTGCATATTTGAGAAAAAATATAACGCTTGCACCTATCACTTTGTTTCGATCAATCATATTAAAACTGCAAACAATCATATTAAAACTGCTTCTGGCTAGATATTAATAAATTTAGACATAGGAAATCTCACCGTATCATAGATCTCAAAAAGATATAAAACGATGCAATTGAGAACTTTGAGGTAGAGTGTTTAGCGCACCTACATGTGAGGCCACAGGTCGTGGGTTCGAGCCCCATGGCCGTGTGTGTATTTCGAGGGAAAAATCGCGTGACTTGTGATGAGTGACCATGTGAATCTTCTCTAGAATTCAAAAATGGCTTCTTGCCCAATTTGTAATTTCTAAAATACGATTTCTAGTGGTGGCGCTAGAAATGTGATCCATAGAGGCGACTCAAAATCGATTTCTACAGGCGGGTCTAGCCAGCCACATCTAAAAATCACTGATTTCTAGAGACGTCATAGTAGAGTCGGTTGGGCCAGCAACCTCTACATAGGCTTTCGAGCCACTTCTACAAATTGTTGATTTCTAGGAGCGGCTAGATATTAATGAATTTAGACACTGAAAAACATACGGCATCATAGACTAGACCTATATACACACATTTTAATAATCATTTTCTGATATAATAGAGATCAGACGCTATAAAATACTGATTCTACAAAATTGATTTTAGGAGACAACCAATTTTATTAATAGAGGTGGTCACAAAATGTACCTGTCTCCTAGCCGATTTTCGGAGGTGGTTGTTTTATTTACGGAGACAACCAAAAATTGCTTGTCCCTCAAAATCGATTTACAAAGGCGAGCCTCTTAAAAGGTTCGCCTCTGTAAATTAGTCTAAAGCCCAGGAGGCTCAACACCAAACTCACATATATAAGCACGGACTAAGGGTTTCGGTCGTCACTCTATCTTCTCTTTCTCTAGACTCTCATGGACCATTGCTCTTGTCGCCGAGGCGAGGAGGCATAGGAGCGGCGACGGCTCATCTGAGGTGAGGAGGCGCATGGCCCAGGAGCTCCTTTGATGTCAGCGCGACCAGATTTATCAAGGATTGTGCGGGATCCAGCAGTCGAGAAGGACGACGGGGACCTCGGCGATCTAGGAGCTCCTCCGACTACGGTGCTCGACCTAGGAGCTTTTTCGGCAGCGCCCATTGCTGGATCCATCGAGGATGGTGTGGGATCGGGCTGTCGAGAAGGACAACGGTGACCTCGACGGCCCGGGAGTTCCTTGAGCAGCAGCACTCGATCTGGGAGCTTCTTTGGTAGTGCCCACTACCGGTTCAATCGAGGAGGGTGTGGTGGGTGCTACTGCTCGGTGGCTCGGCTTGGCTGTTAGCGTCTTGTTGTGATATATCATTGACCTCATGCATGTGGGCTTCAACACTTTTTTTTTGTTTTAGGTGATGTTTGGTCTGTTACGTGCATTTGTTCCTTGCTCTGTGTTACAGTATATCTATTATGGCGACAATTTCATCTGCTTCTGCGTGTGCTTTAGTCAATGTATATCTATTACGGACACAACCAATTCAGTAACAAAACCACTAGATCCAATGCAAGTCATCTGCAAGATTAGCAGTGATCGTGTGTGTACCTTGCCAAACATTGAACTGGATACAACGACCTTGCTGGTGGACGCGACGGATGGACAACATAGGTTGCCGGCGAGATGCCGTGGCCGAACAATAGAACGAACGCAATGCGAGTGGGAAGGATGCGATTTCGCGACGAGAGCACAACAAACAGTGTGCTCGCTCCAAAGAGTTGCCACAATCACGCTAGGAATGAGGATCTGGGGTTCGATTTGGGAGCCTTGATAAGCCATGAAGCGAAGCGAGAGGAACATTGATTGACCTACCTACTTGCGCCGCCGCCGCCGCCGCCGGATCTCATGTCATACCGCTGGCCGCCATCATGGGGCTGCATGCATGGAGGAGGCCGATCGCCATCTCGCCACGCGGAGGAGGAGGAGGCGGATCCGGGGCGGCGCCGCGAGAGGAGAGAGGCGGCGGATCCGGGCAGATCCGGGCGGCGCGGGCGAGGGGGGGCCGGGCCGGCCGGGGAGGAGGAGAGGAGGGAGGGAGGGGCCCGATCGCGGTGGGGGAGGAGGCGGCGGATCCAGTAGCGGCGCGGATCGGATCGGCGGGGAGGCGAGAGAGGGAGCGGGACAGGGAGAGAGCAGCAGCGGGCTGGATTTGGGATTGGAGTGGGGTGAGAAGCATCTAGGGTTTGTCAATTGTCACTTTGTATTTGTGGGCCCACGCTAAAATTTTGTTGCGAACTCAAAGCAAGCAAAGGCCATGAGCTCAATGTAAGCCCGGTGGGCGAGCTGGTGGGGCCACTTTCTTCTAGCGTCGAGATAGATTGACGCTGTATATTCTTTTAGGGACAGACAGATTGGCGCTATACATGATTATCTATAGCGTCAGATAGTAAATCACTAAATGAGGATTCAGGGACAGATCATCTGTGAGATATCTTTATCGTCAGATCGTCCATTGATAAACAAAATTTTTAGCGTCAGATGTCTGACGGTGTTGCGGTGTTGTGGTGTAGTACATTTGGATCCAGTGAACCTGCACATCTTGATGCCTGTTTTTGGAGAGTTGTTATGTTTTTGTGTTATTAGTATTTCCTAGCAAAAGTAAATGCAAATCTATTCAAAAAAAAAATTAAATGCAGGTGCTTGGGGGTGGACTAGTTTCATGGATTACCTCTGCGTCTTGTTGTTTTTCTTCTGATGTTGATGTCCTTTTCCTTTGGTCTTCATCGGCTTACTCTTGTCTTCTACGCCCAAGCCGTCGCCACCGTCATCTACGTTGCTGTGAATGTGGTCTGTCTTGGACGCTGGTTTTCTTTCTTTCTTGTCCGTCAGGTGGTGTACCTGTGCTGTATGTATGCTGGATATGTGTTGTCATTCGGGTGTCACTGGGCAGTTTATTATTTTCTGGAAGACAAGAGCCGTAAAAATCTTCCAGAAGATAACGACTATAAAAATCTTCCGGATTTTGTGTCATGTGACAGTACATGTGCTGCTTTTTCAATTTGTTTAGTTGTTTTGTATCATGTGACGTGTCAACTACTGATTTGTTGAAAAATGTGGAAGATAACAAACAGCAAAATCTGCAATGAGATGTGTAGTCAGGTGTTGGCGTCGAGCCAGGTACTTGCTAAAAATACATTGTTTTTTTGACCGATCCGAACCCGTCCATACCTGGCACTTGATCAGGTCTAAGGCTTGATTTTTCTACTGGTTTTGCTGGGGTCTGTATATGTTGGGTTGGGCTATTGCTAGTGGTGGCTTGAGGGGGCTGCGTGGTGGTGTTGGGTTGGGTGCTAGGCCACATTGGTGATGGTCAGCTGGTGTTCCTTTTTTATTTTTGTTTTCTATACTAGTACGGATGTAGGGTCGGCCTGCCAGCTAAAAACTAGGCCTGCGCCCGACCCAAATTTTGCTTCCTGTAAAATATGATGGCCAACAACCACCTGCAATGGCGACTGGGTCAGGTTGGGTAGGGTTTTTTCGGGCGGGTCAGATTGGTTTATTGGGTTGTTGGGTGAGCCATGATCAGGTCAAACTAAAATTGATGAGTACCCCATAGCAAATGCAATGCATCCACTAGGCCTACCTGAGCAGGAATGCTCAATTTAATAATACACGTGGGCTAGGATTTTCCTTTTTTTGTTTTTTTTTGTTGTCGTTGATCTATATTGGCAACTAAATAATCATGATCTTATATGCACCCACCAGTGCATGATATATATACTTCAAGGGATGTCCAAGGCTTGGCTTCATGGAGAAGGACAATGCTCGAATTTGACGAGAGCGGTTCAGCCAAAACATCACCACACTTGACACAGTCACCCAGGCCACGAACATTCCAACAGCAAACTAAGGAAGTTCTATTCATTGGGCCTGGTGGCCATCACCAGACAGCAGACTGCTCATACAACAGGAAGAGCAGGTCAAGCTTACAACGCGAGCCTCCACATGATCACTAGTACAAGGTCTGAACATCAGAGATACAAGGTATCTGGGGATACAGACTGATCCAAGACTACAAACTGAACTAAGGAACATAGGATAGAGGACACTTCTAGGCCAAAAGGGCAAGGGGTCGCCAGTTACAAGACTTCGCCTATGACTAAAATTGCAGGCCCGAGGCCTACTAGTTTGGCAAAGGGAGCAGGCGCAGCTGGTCGATCATTCCGCCAGGGACGGCGAGGCTGCCACACCCGAGAGACTAGCAGCGACCTTGACGAGGTTCTCATCGTCACCTGAGGGGGACATAGGGTTAGAGAGCAGATGAGAACGAGCAAGGGCAGTACGAAGGCGTCCAGACGACGCACCGGAGAAGTCAAATTTAGCTTTCTGAAGACGGGAGGCCTTGTTCGCAGGGAACTCGAAGCTGGGCTCCTCCTTCTCCATGAGACGAGTGCTGCGGCGGGGCTTACGAGCACTGTCTGTCGCACGCTTGCGCCGGACAGGGCGTTTACGTGCCTGGCTCTCATGTTGTTCAGTGGCGCCCGGATGGAAAACTAGGGGCCCGTCCATAGCCAGGGTGGCAAACGCACTTGCCCGTTCAGGGACCGGCGTGGTGGTGTCGGTCACCAGGCCAGTCACCGGCAGCTCAGGGCCCGGCTCATGCACAGCCGCGACGTCAGGCACACCCCCAATTCCATACCAAAGTTTCCTCAAAAAAATTACATACCAAGGTAGAGCCAGAGCGCTTGGAGCAGTGGCCGGCTGCAGCGGGGGAGTGGTAGAATTTTGCTGGGTGTTGACAGGACGGAGATTCGGGGGAGAGACGGAGTCACAGGACGGAGATTCAGAGTCAGAGTCCTGTTCCTCGAAAACCTGCAGAGCGTGTACTGATTAGCTATCCTTCCTACTCTGTTGGAAGGACGGTAATTATTGGACAAAAATATCTGTACAATGCATACATTAATAGCTCGCATGCATGTCTGTGCACCTATTATTGTGACTATCATTGCTTCAACATAGTTAAATATTCTTTTTTTGGACAATTAAAACAGATGTTTTTTGTCGAATAGGAGTAATTGTCTTATGCTACTCTATCTTTCTTAACAGAAAGAAACTCTGATTGCGCGATGCCGTTTAGGCGTGCTAGCTGATTAATGCAAGTAAGAGAGGCGGACGGAAATTTCATAATTTGTTCCACTGGTGGTGTCAGTTTGTCCTATTATTCTATATAATAGCAAGTAAAATGGAGTACAGAATATATATTAAAATAACCGAAGATAATTAACGTGATGCCGAAAAGAAACAGCGAGTATATAGTTGTATTACGAAAATCTTGAAGGATGAAAATAGATACTATAGTGCAGTTCGGCGGTGAACTTACTTGAAAATTATTTATGTGAGCCAGCTTCGCCTTGTTCTCTTCTGATTCACACCACTCCTTCAGTTCCTGGGTGCAGTACCTAATCTCTAGCTTCTGAAGCTTGGTGAGTTGCTGTATAGATGCAGGCAACGACATGATGCTGCAGCTAACGATGACAAGGCTTTTTAGAGAGGAGAGGTCGCCTAGCCATTCAGGCAGTGCTGATATGCCATAGCAGCATTGCAACGTCAACGACTCAAGGGAAGTGAGGCTGCGCATGCTTTCCGGAACGTTCGTCAGGTAATCTCCTCCAGTGATTGTCAACTCTCGGAGTAGAGGGAAGTGATGAAATAGCCTTATGCAGGAGTCGCCCGATAGTGTCAAATCCAATTTGATGGCTGGACTAGAGGAAGAACAGTGATGATTGGTTTTGTCTACCTCCAATGAAGATATAACTTTGTCGCTGTATTCTATATAGCACTCATGAAATGTTGGTGGGCATGGTTTCAACCTCAACCTCGGACATTCATCTATAGTCAGACTGTCCAGCACAGGGAACATGAACTCCTCCACACCCTCCTCAACAGAGTATGTTGTATTCCACTCCTCCAACCCATCCATTTTGGAGACATGGAAGGATGACAATCGACGGAATGCTCCTTTGCCACCACAGAATTCCCTGTCGATTCTTTTAATGCCAGGCAAATTCCGGAGCGACAGCTTTTCCAGGTGCCGAAACTGCCCAAGTGGTGGCAGGTTGCTACACTTAGGCAGATCTTGCAGCCGAATATAAACAAGGTTTGTGAGGTGTCGAGAAATATCCATGAGCCAGCCTGGAAAGCTTGTACAGCTGTAACCTTTGAGGTACATGCTCTTCAAACCTGTTGGTGGCGCTAGTTGTTCCAACAAATCTTTGTCCTCCAAAGTTTGAACCGCACGCTTGGTCGACCAAGCCAATGTTAACTCCGAGAGATTATGTTTGTCAGACAACTTTACTTTATTTGCTTCTTCTAGAGACCTTACATTTTCAAGAGAATGTATTCGTAACACACTGACATGGACACCCTCGAGCAGATGAAGATTGCTGCAACCATTGACCTCATCAGCACAAACCCAGAAGATTGGTAACATTGGTGAGTAATTTACCACTGAACTGGCCTGATCGATGAGTTTATCCGAGCACCCGTCCAGCAATAAAGACTTCAGCCCCCCAAGTGTACCTAGACTCTCTGGTAGGGACTTAAGGAAAGAACATTCCGTAAGATCCAGTGTATGCAATCTTTTGAGGTTACCAATACTTTCTGGAAGACATGCAATATTATAATTATAAGATAGGTCCAGGTGCTCCAGATTGGTAAGGCCACCGATCCCATAAGGGAAGACATAACTAGCCCTGCCGTGTATGATTGAATTGCTTAGGCCCAAGTACTTGAGATTCGTGAGGTTGGCCAAAACATCTGATAAATCTTGAAGACCAATATCAAATACCCATACCCGTGACATATTCAGGTGCTGTAGTGTGGTGAGGCCACGCACACCTCCCAGGTGCCGCATTTTGGTGCAGCATGACAAATCTAGATGCAACAAATTTTGGAGGTTCATCAGTGACTCTGGAAGTTCTCTGATTTTTTCACAGTCTGACATGTTTAAATATTGGAGTTGTGTGAGGCCACACAAGGGTTCAGGTATTGCTTTTACACTTGAGCATCCAGATAAGTCAAGATGCTGCAAATTCCTGAGCTTACCAAGCGAGTCTGGCAGTTCCTTTATCCCAGAGCAGCCTGACATGTCAAGATGCACCATACATTTTAAGTCGCAAAATGATTCTGGCAGTTTTGATATACCAGAACAACCAGACAAACATATATATTGCAGACATCCAAGCTTGCCGATTGATTCTGGCAGTGCACGAATCTGAGAAGATCCATTTATGTTTAGGTGCTGCAGTTTTGATAGCTCAGTGATACACTCCGGGAGACTCTCGTTTTGCATTCTTGGAGCAATAAAACACCTCAGGTGCTTCAGTTGGCCAATTGAAGCTGGAAACAATGTACCAGAGCATTCACAGAAACCCAAAGCACGCAGGCAGTTCGCAAATGAAAATGCACCACTCTGTATATCCAGTTCGCCACTATCTGAGAATCGAAGTAACCTAATCTTCGAAGGAAAAGTACTTGCCAACTTCATTGTCTGGTCATAATTGAGCAATAAATAGCGACAATATTTCTGGCCAAGTGTATTTCTCTCCTGTGCAGTGAAATCTATTAGCTCGTCAACCATTGTCAATCTTGCCAGGTCGTGCACCAGGTCATGCATGGTGTACCGCACCACTTGCTCTTGAGAAGTCTGAAAGGATAAGTATATAACAACATTGATGAGAGATGTCAACTGATGCTCACATCTTATAAAGAGAAGTTAAGTCCTTCTCGCACACATGCAAATAAACTGCATGGAAACCTTGTTTAATTTACTTATGAAAAAGATTAACAATATTTTAAATTTTCATGACATAGGCATATTGCTACACAAATTAAATGAGAATGGAGAGAAGGATTAAGTAATAATGTATTGACAAAAAAATAGACATCCAACTACAAGTTGCACAGAATTCTAGTGTAATTCGTGTGCAGATTTTTTGTTTTAATTGCATTGCCTTTAGGACGTAGAAATAATAGATCCTTTAGTAAAAAAAACGTAACGTCTTTCTGAACAAGGTTCCGTGCAAAATTAATTAATTTTTTACAGTCTAAGATATTTAATATCGAATATCAATTATATCAATTAATTAGGCTTCACAATTATACATCCTAAGCATGTAAGACATAAGTCCGACCAATTAATTAGGCTTCACAATTAATTGCCTGAAGTGTCAATTGTTTGTTACTCCGTACTTGAGTAAGTAGATAGAATACAATGATATGTAGTTATGCAAATAAAATATTCTTCATTGCATTATTAAGAAAGTTTCTTATATACAAATACAAAGAATGTAAACGGTTCTCCATGAAGTGCTGCAGCTACATCCCAAATTGTTATGGTTGTTGATTTACTAGGTATATGCTCATACGTTACTACAGAAAAAAATAATTTTCTCACGTTCATACCCGACAAGCATGCTGAAAAGGCTAGATAAACTTCAGTTTATACCTTCCTGCAAGGGGGATTGCTATGGTACTCCCATTACCCATAGTAGGAAGGTAAGAGCTAGAATAAATCACGGCCCATGACTTTTTAACTAAATGAAACAATTAAATAATAAAAAGAATCAGAAAAAAAGGAAAATTTCACTATCTCAGGAAAGGCCTAGCCGGACTCTCGATCTCTGCATGCATGCATGAACTTTTGGTTCCGTAATCCATGCACCGATCTGCTCCAGAACGGATCCCGTTGTTCGTTTATAGAGTTCTAGCTCATTAATCTATGCATACATGAACTTAGATCAACGTATCACTATGGAAGTATGTGAAAACACGTTCGAACATGTTCTAGGCAGCAGAAGAAACAGACTATCAAAAGCTAACACTCAATGGATATATAAAAAAAACCACGTACCAAAACACGTCGTGTTGGCTAACACCATTCATAGATTAAAACTAACGCATGTTTCACAACTAGTAATCAGAATCTGTCACATTCCAAAGTTCCAAAATAAACAGATTTGGCATATCCAACAAATCATGGATGCAATATTTTTTCCTCATTTATCCTATTTTACAAATAAAAAATTAAATAAATATGTATTTCACATATTACTTCCTGAAAGGTATTATAACCGTAGCAATATATGCCCTATGATTTGTGAGTACCGTAGCAAAGCCGTGGCCCGTCAGATTTAAAAAAAGGGCTGGGTTGAGCGTGGTTATCAAAATTAATACTAACAGATATAATAAGTACCGGAGGAGCTTTAACTTGACCTGTAGACAAAAAATTACAAAAACTAGAAAGATCAAAGTTGATTGCCAAACTATAGATTCATGGTGGAACGGGATGTAACTACAGTCGTTATAATTTATGCTCAGGTTTAAACTAAATACATATCGAAGATACTGTATCTTAATATTACTAATGGGAGGTCCTCAACCACTACCGGAAATATCAAATTTGCCGAGTGTTTTTATGTTTGCCGAGTGTATTCTCTCGGGCACTCGGCGAACAAGTTCTTTGCCGAGTGCTGCACTAAAAATACTCGGCAAAAAAAAAAACACTCGGCAAAGAGGAGGTTTGCCGAGTGTAAAAAAAAACACTCGGCAAAGAGGGGGTTTGCCGAGTGTTTTTTTACACTCGGCAAAAAATAAAATCTTTTTTTCTGGAAAAGAACGAAAAGAAAAAAATGAAAAAAAACTTTGCTGAGTGCCCAGATCTAGGATACTCGGCAAAGGATGAAATTGTATTTAATTCCCCGGCTGGCGCCCCTCCCCTCCCCCTTGTTCTTCCCCCGCGGCTGCCCCCTCGGCCCCGCCCTCCCCTCCTCCCTCTCCGTGCATGGTGGCGGCGGTCCTCTCCCGAGCGTGTCGCGGTCCTCCTCTCCCGAGCGCGCTGCGCGTGGCCCTCCTCTCCCGGCGCGGCGGCGCCCTCCCCCCTCCCTCTTCCGGCGCGGCGGCGCCCTACCCCCTCCCTCTCCCGGCGCAGCGACGCCCTGCCCTCTCCCTCTCCCACTGCGGCGGCGCCCTCCCCCTCCCTTTCCCGGCGGTGGCGCCCTCCCCCCTTCCTCTCTTGGCATGGCGACGCTCCCCCTGCCTCTCCACCGCCTCCACCAGATCCGGCCCCGGCATGGTGGCGGCCTGGGCGTGGCGGCGGCATGGCGTGGTGGTGTGCAGCGTGGTGGCGGCACGGCGAGGAGAAGATGGCGGCTTGTTTTTTTTCTGAAAATTGTTTGCCGAGTGTTTTTTGCGCACTCGGCGAAGTCTTTGCCGAGTGTCCGACAAAAAACACTCGGCAAAGTTAGTTTGCCGGCAGAATTTTTGTCGTGTGCCCTTTGCCGAGTGTTACACTCGGCGAAGTCTTTGCCTCCCGTTCCCCATAGTGAACAAAGCCTGCACATTAATCCTCAAAACATGCATTAGAAACGAAATTCTCACAATAACCAAAAATATTTACTATTAATCAGGTATTCCCTATTTATCATAGAGAATAATAGCCGTTCAATTGATTCTGTTGTCTTAAAAAGGTATCTACTTGTGCCATTATTGAAAACATACATAACCACATAAATATACATTGAAACTACTAGTTGTTACTCCCTCCGTCCACGAAAGAATGCTATTATGGGAAATGTACTAGTCAAACTAGTTCAACTTTGAACAAGTTTATAGCAAATAATATTAGCATTTATGTCTCAAACTAAACTAATTATGAAAATATATTCTATAACTAATTTAATGGAACTTATTTTGTTTTATGAGTATTAGTATCTTTTTATATAATTTTAGTCAAAGTATAAACTGTCTGACTCCTCAAAATACGAGAATTGCATTCTTTTGTGGACGGAGGTAGTACATCAGATCAGTTTATACATTTGGTCCGAGGCATTATGGCATAGCAATACCAATAGCTTGACTGTAAACAATCCATTTTTTATAAAACAATTCTACGTACTACAGATATAATTTTTTAATAGTTGGAAATTCAACCAGTGGAGTTGCTACGGTGCAGATGTGCAGGCTAAAAAATTGTTTATGCCTTTGCATTAACAAAGGGTGTAGTCTATGACCTTAGAATCGATATTTAACAAAATATAAAATGAAAAGTTTTGGATAAAAGATAAGCACTACAGTTCAACTAGCACGTTCGGCTTACTCAGAAACCGGCTTGTTCGGCTTGTTTTTTTCAGCTGGAACAGTGTTTTTCTCTCACAACAATTCAGCCAGAACAGTGTTTTTCAGCCAGTTTCAGACAAGTTTCAGCAAGCCGAACGAGACCATTAAGGTCAAAAGTTGAAAGCCAAGATACTTTTTATCTGTCCTTGGAAAGGAACATATGAATTTGATACGAAATATTGGTACATATCTAGTTATAATTTTGGTACCTCTCCGATGGCTGTAAGAAATCTAGGATTAAAAAGAAACGTCACCAATGGGGAGATGATAATTTTACACAATGGTTTGCCACAGCTGGTACATATGGTAAAAACCATGCAATGTTTAACAACCATACAGTTGACAGTATGAATGGCTATATGGGCTGTGTGATGTACTTATAGTAAAAAACAAGTAAGAAAAGGTATTGTTCTAGGAGTTATATTGTAACATACCGAGGGTATCTTTGAAACTTCAAGGAAGGACATTCTCAAAAGTTGTTCGATGTATTCCTTCCCCTTCTTTCTCTCAATGAAACCCAGCACGCTCCATTGGTGAATCAAGTCATGTTCAACAATACTGTGTCCTTTTGAGAATATGGCACAATAGGAAAAGCACATCCTCAGCTGCTGTGGCATCCTGTGATAACTCAACTTCAAGGATGGAAGCACTCTATGGTTTGATGTTTCATTCCAGATATCACTGTCATTTATATTTGTCCACTCAGATAGATCTTTGGATTGTAACATGCCCCCAAGTGCTTGAGCTGCCAATGGCACACCTCCACATTTCTTTGCAATATCCAATCCTATCATCTCAAATTCCTTTTGGTTACACTTACTGGATCGCTTAATTATTTCCCAGCATACAACATCCTTCAAAGGCTGTAGCTTATATAGTAAGCATACAACATCCTTCAAAGGCTGTAGTTTACTGGTGGAAACTTTCTTTGCAATTCCTTCCTCTCGTGTGGTTACTATGACATCTATCGTACTGCCCTTCTTGCCCACACGAAGCATATTTTTCAGTTTGCTCAACTCATCGTCATCTGTCTCCCATAAGTCATCTAGAACGATCAGAACTTTCTTGTTACAGAGTAGGTTATCAAGGCAGTCCATTATCACCTGCAGATCTGTATTCTGGAGATCCCTATTTTGGTGGGCTCCTTCTCGTTGTAGTTGAGAAATTATAGAGTTTCCTATTTTCAATAAATTGAAATCTTGGGAGACATAAACCTATATACGACAATCATACCGCTTCTTGAACTTCTCATCGTTGTAAACCAGTTGTGCCAAAGTAGTCTTGCCCATACCTCCGAGGGCATAGATATGAACAATCACTGTCTCACTCTCATCATGGTTTGATCTTGCATGTAACAACATGTTTATGATTTCCTGTTTTTCTCCTTCCCTCCCTTCTACTTTTTCAGGCAAAAAATATGATGTTGTCACACGTTTGTCAGGAAGCTGAACATTAGTGCTAGTGCCTTGTGTGCTGATGCTCTCAAAATTACCAAATTCCATCTTGATTTTCATCAGCTCTTTTCTCAAACTCTTCATCCTATTAGCGATGGCAATCTTCTTGTATGCAGTTGGGATACACGAGAGCACCCCAGGGTTCTACAAGAATTTCATTTAATTTTCAGTTGGGTGATACAATTAGGAAAGATGCATTGCATTATAAATTAGTAATTATGAGCAGTTTTTTATAACTTAAATTATCAAGAGTTGCCAAAAAAAATTACACACATCTTGGGGGTGTTTGGATCAGGGAGCTAATGATTAGCCCATGTTTTCGGTACCAATTAGAAAGCCTAAATATGTGCTAATTCTGGGCTAATAAGAGTTAATGAGGGCTAATTGGTGGCTAGAGTCCATTAGCCCTTATTAACCTATAATTAGCTCATGTTTAGTTCATTTTCACATGGTGGCCTAATTTTTAGCCCTAAGATCCAAACAGGCCCTAAAGCAACTTAATATTAATTGTTTTTCACAATTATTTTATCCACTGGTCTGATATGGTCCCGGCCCTATCCATACCAATGCTACGCCCAACCCATGTCCACACGATTATTTTGGATCCAATCCGCAAGCGCTGTTGTGGTGCAGACGGAGCAGGCACGGTGTGTCGTCGTGACATACGGCTAGTCAGCACCAGAGCGCAGTAGGTTGCTAGTGCGCCGCACGAAGCGGCCGGTTGGGTTCAGTGCTGCGACGCCGTGACGTGCTGCTTGGCGCCGCACCTGCCACTTGCGCCGTCCTGGTTGTGTTTCCATCTGGTTGGACGAAATGGCGCTACCGCCATCGTTCAGCACGTGTGAACGAACAGGCGAAACGACAGCAGATCAGGTCCATAATATTTTGGTATACATAGGCCGAACTCAACGTGGCTATGGATAAACCCGTAGACAAATTAATTATGAAGATTTAATTAACATTAAGTTGCTTTAATATGCATACGAATTTCTTTGGGAGGTCCACCAGAGCAATACTCTAATTAAAATTTTGGTACCCAAGTATCAAAAGTTGATACCTCAGGTTCCATATTTGAGAAAACTCCCTATATATATGACAATAGTAAAGACACTTATTTCTTCTATGATCCTCAAAATTTTAGAGTTCTCTTTTTGACACTAGATTCAAATTTCATTACCTATTTGTTAGTTAACACCATTAACCAACGTATGAAGAGCTCTATTTATCCCTGATGTAGACACGTAGAATGTGGTCAGATTGTGACCAAGTTCAATCATGTAAGCTGCACTAGTAGAGAACATATTTTCCGTTTTTGGCTTTAGTCTCACCTGGAATTGTGCCCGGGACTAATAGGAGAATTAGTCCCGGTTGTAGCCACCAACCGGGACTAAAATCCCCAGCCCAACGGCTAGCCCTGCAGGCTTTTGCAGGAGGAGACTTTAGTCCCAGTTGATGAATCCAACTGGGACTAGAGGTCGTCCTTTAGTTCTGGTTGGAGCCACCAACCGAGATTAAAGGTCCTGCAACCCTTTTATTCCGGTTGGTGGTTCCAACTGGGACTAGAGGATGAGCTTCTAGTCCCGGAAGCCCCACCAACCGGGACTAAATGTCCCCACTATATATATTCTGATTCTAGGACGGTCCAGCCTGAAGCCATCTAGTTCAATTATTGCTCTCGGCTGTTCGTGTGTGCTCTTGCTTGGGGTGAGCAAGTTATTGCTCTCGGCCAACTAGCTCTCTTGAGAAGATCTTCGATCCTCTATTTCATTCTACTTTCTAAAGGTCAGCGACTTCATTTACTAATCTTTCATTGTTAATAATGTAGCTCATTTCATGGTTCAGAAATAAACAGAGAAATTTATGGTTTTTTAGATTAGGAATAATAATGGTGGATTTTATTTTTATTTATACGTCATTTCTAAGTAACCTTAAACATTTGTAATTATTTCTAAATCTTTGTTAGCAACATTAGTTCTTGATGAGATTTAATAATCGTTAAAATAAATTATGTGCCAACAAGTAGGGTGTAAAATGTTTGCAAAAATGTTATGTTTACTTGGCACGTATATATGTATCTAGACACATTTTATATATGTTTTCTCTAATATATATATTGCATGGTATTTATATGGGGTTCTATATTTAATGGAAGTTTTTTAGTTTTTTTTAGGTATGATGAATGGCGGCGGACTTCCCCTGCCACGGGAACTAGGTTTCCACCCTAGCGATCTTCCATTCGCGCCACCGCCAAATAGGGTCGTTCCGCGGTTCCCAGACCCATCTATAGTATGAAATATTTTTACCATCTAAGTTTTGCATGCTAATATGATACTTGCATATATACATTCATTCATAATATGATTGTTGTATATGTCACAGACTATAAACCCGATAGAGTGGCTGGAATTAGCACTATACTTGCTTGGGGTGTGAGACATCTTCGAGCAAACGACAAGTGAGGTTGTGAATGATGAGGGTGGTGAGTTATGGACATGTAATATCGCCTTTGACGTCCCTATTAGGTATAGTCTAGATCATCGCGGAGACGTCATGCAGAGGGGACGATCGAGGATGAGTTAGAGAAGCGCCCAGTTCGATACCGTGATGCATTGTTTACAGTCACTTGACCGAATTGGCTATCGTGTGCCTGGTTACTCTTGGTTCAAGATACAAGCTTTACGTGAGCATAATCTAGACGTGGTGCAAGTAAGCGAAAAGGATGGCGAGATTCAACCGAGTGGATGTGGTAAGTCATATATCAGAGTCATGTTTATTTATTGTTATTATTATATGACTGCTCTCTCATATTATTTGTTTCTCCCCTTGCAGGTTTTGCTCCATGATTTTACCTATACTACATGTGGCTTGCAGGCCATTCTAGAGCAAGCTATTCAGCGACTGGGGTACGACTAGGAATACGATGGACCCCTAGGCCAGTATACCACACAAGGACACCAGTTATGCGTGAAAATTACTCAGAACCGAGCCATCAATAGTTCGGCAGTAGGTTACATCTATGGGCGACCACGTCCTCGGCATTGTGAGGAAAGAGAGAGTGCATTAATGTGGGCGTTGACTTACATAGAAAATGACCGCAGTTATTGTATCTGAGACATCCACTACACTTAGTGGAGACGGGGGAGAGTTGCGCTCGGTTTGTAAGGTTTATGTGTTAATTAGGTTTGTTTGTATGATTATTATGTTTAATTAGGTTTATTCGTACTATTATTTTTAATTAGGTTTATTTTGTATAGTTATAATTAGGTTCATTTGTATGACTTATGTTTATGTGTTAATTAGGTTTATTTGTATGACTTATGCTTATTTCTCACATACATTGCGGCGCCGTATGCGATTCAAAGTTTTTCTCACGCCTTTATGTGCCACAAGTTAAGGAAACACTACTTAAGTTTCCAAAATTAACATCACTAAATTTAATATATCACTAAATTCATATCAAAATTAATATCACTAAAATATATATACACAATATATCAAATTTCATATATAATAACTAAAGTCCAAAGGCCACGGGTATGAATTTTGAAACTGAGAGACCTTTAGTCTCGTTTTTTTTTGTTCAAACCGGGATTAAATGCACCTTTAGTCCTGGTTGTTGGTTCAAACCAGAATTAATGGGACCTTTAGTCCCAATTAGAAACAAAAACCGGGACTAAAGGTCCCCCACCTACCGCCACCACTCCTCCCACAGACCAACACGCATGATCACCACTGCTCCCACCTACCACCGCTGCTCATGCTTATAAAACTGTCCACCGAGCACGCGAGACTCTCCACAGCCACTCTATTATTTTGTTTGCTCAATCCATGACCACCGGTACCTTATGTGTCCACAGCATCTCTATTATTGTTTGCCCAATCCAGGGTCCACGTAAATGGCATCTGTGTGGGAGAAAGCCATCCACATACAAATTTTATTATGTGTAGTCAGCAATGATGCACACAAGGGGTACTAGAAGAATGTTTCTGAAGATAGAGCCGCGCTGAAGCTTGGGGACGCTAGGTGTGATGCCTGCACAACGTAATTGTCTGCGCTCTGGACTGTCTGTGCCTTCATGTCCATTCAAGGCATGAATGGACTGTTTGCCCGGAGAGGCATGGGTTCATCACTGTCTCTAGAAGGCGTAGTTCGTCAGCCATCTCCGGCATCCTCTAGCACCCATTAGACCCCTGTTTGGTGCTAGAAGAATGTTTCTGAGGTGGTTATTTTATAATATGTTTGTACACTTCGATTGTAACCAATGTTTTTCTAAACGGTAAACGGTCTTTACACGGTCGCCCTTCGTTTAGCGTCTAGGCTGTTTACACGGTGTTTAAACGAAGTTAAATGGTCTAAATAGTTTTATACTTTTAAAAAAATACATATAATTATATATGTGCATGTAAAAAATCAAGTATTCTAGCATTTATACATATTTATCCGAGTAAAAATCAATTATTTTGGTATGTATATATATTTATGCATGTGAAAAGAACAAAATATAGATATTTATGCATGTAACATATCAAGTGTACACATTTATAAATATAATAAACTTAAGTATACAAATTTATCCATACAAAACTGAACTAGATTTACCTCGTGTTCGCCTAAACGACCATTTAAACAATTGTTTAGCCCGTTTAATGCTGTTTATCTCCGTTCCGTTTAGGCCGTTTTTCCGTTTTTTTACCGTTTAATTTCCGTTTACCCCCTAAACAAAACAGTTTACCACCGTTTACCATTTACTGTCCGTTTAAATGGCCGTTTAATCCGTTTAGGCGAACACTGATCGTAACATTGACCTATTCGGAAAAAGGTCTTGGTTATCGTTTATGTACTTTTATTCTAAGGTCTTTGTCATCGTGTATGTAATTTTATTGATAGGACCCTAAATATTTATTCTAAGGTTTTCTAAGATATTTATTGTTTTCGATGTCACATGCACCTCAAACTTTTCTCAAGCTTGTGCGTGCCACGGGATTAGCGAACGATAAGTTTAAATGAATTTTTGCATGACGGTGCGAACTAATTGGAGGTTGAACTGTGGCCACCCTCTAAAACGATCAGAAAAGTTACTAAATTTCTATACTGGTTCTCATATTGCACAATGAACCAAGTTTGGTGGAGGTTGATAGAAAAA